CCCCAAAACCCCAAAACCCCACTACGAAAATCTAGATATTCCTTTCTAATATATTATTATTTTAATCTAAAAATATTTAAGAGGTGATTGAAATATTATGATTTAAGATTATTTGAATCGATTACCTTGATTATGAAGATGAGCTTATCATTCTTTGGCTTCATAAACTGAGACGTCTGTGTAACCATCTGGTAAATGACTGTAAAGATACTTACCCCTAACTTCGGGATCTTTTACATTGCTAAGCGCATTTAAAGTCAAACCATTTTCGATTCTCTCAACTAAGTTATCATTTGCACAGAATAAAGCGCCAAATGAGACTAGATCAGCTTAGCCACTCTCAATTGCTTAGTTTCCACTTTCTATGGTATATCCTTAATTAGTAATGTAAAGGCCACTGGTGAAATGTGGCTTAAGGAGTTCTCTTACTGATTTCTCCGTTCTCTCTTAAAAGAATTTGTCTTTAGCTTCTTGATGCACTTATGAGTCGAAAGAAAAACCCTCAGTAATTTCTACAAATCCAATGTTAAGCTTGCTTAACTCTTGGAGAACATAGCTATAGAGTGCTGCAGGATCTGAGTCAGACATAGTATGGAAGGTGTTCATTGGTGAAAACTTAACTCCTACTCTTTGAGGAGTGAATACAGTCAATACTTCTTTTACTGTCTCTAGAAGGAATCTTGCTCTGTTTTCAACTGAGCCTCCATATGAGTCTGTTCTTTGATTTACTCCATCTCTCAGGAATTAATCAATGATATAGCCATGAGCACCATGAATTTCAACACCGTCAAACCCAGCATCTTTGGCATTTTAAGCTGCTCTTTTGAAGTTTTCCTAAACGGTCTTAATATCCTCAAGAGTAGCCTCTTTTGGTACAACTCCTGGTAGTGTATTTCCACCACCTACTACAGCAACTGGAGAAGAGCTTAGAGGGATATGTCCACCATTTCTATCAGGATGAGCTGTTCTACCTCCATGCCATATTTGAAGGAATATTCTTCCTCCTTTTTCATGGACAGCATCAACAACTTTCTTCCATCCTTAGATCTGCTCCTCTGAGTAAATGTTAGAACTTCCAAGATACGAGTCACCATCTTGGGAAATTGCTGAGCACTCAGTTATTATTAAACCAGCAGAAGCTCTGTTAGAATAGAATTAAGCATGCAAATCAGTGGGGGCTCTAGCTTCATGATCAGCTCTACCTCTACCTAGTGCTGCAACTACTACTCTATTTGGTAGCTCAAGATCTCCTAAGGTAATCTTTTGCAAGATAGCTTATTAAGCAGGTTAAGATTCCATAATATTTATATTGATAATAAAATTTTTCCAAATTTATTTAAAAGATCCTAATTTAAGGGGTTTTGGGGTTTTGGGGTTTTGGGGTTTTGGGG